GACACTATGAGACATTGGTCTGGGTCATCGTCCACACCAGCCAAGGATGCCCAGGAGAGTGGGCTGCTGGTGGGGCACAGCAGTGAGAGGTCCCCCTGCCACCCAGAAGCCCCTAGTGAGGACACATGGTGCGCTTACCTGGCAGGAGGTTGGAGTCGGAGAAGCAAGGGCGGCTCTCGGAAGAGTTGCCGGAACAGGAGCTGCCAGTGGGGAAGACGAGGACGCACTGGCGGCTCCGGACCTGGATCCCCGATGCATCGCACATGGACCAGGCCGACCACGTGGACCAGCTTTCTGTTGGAGCACAAGAGGGAGTGGGCCGGGACAGCAAGGCCACTCAGGTCCACTCCACCCTGTGGGCTGGGCTGGGCTGGGCTGGCCTGAGTGACTGCAGAAACTGGAGCCACGGTGGAACAGTGCCTGAAGGAGACCACACCCTGGGAGCCAGCGATTGAAGATGCCCCCCTGCTCCTACACCCAACAAGCTGAGTCCTGGGCCAGCCTTACTTGTTACGTTAATGACTCCCACACCATCCCCCCCTCCCCCCACAGCATAGGGTGAGCCCTGAACCCAGTCTCTCCTGCGTGGCATGCTGGAAGGGAGGGCCAGACCCCATGTCTGCAGACAGAGCTGCATGTGTGGGCCGGGGCTGCGGGAGGAATGTCAGCTGCTAGGAGGACCCCACCCCAGAGCGGGTCAGTGTTCACGTCTGTCTCCTGTGCTCAGAGAACCAAGCTCAGCACTCGAGGTTCTGGGCAGCCAGGTAGCTCTGTTCTCCAGCAGCATCTCAACCTGGAGGCCCCTCACAGGAAGGCAGGAGGGTGGGGGTGGGGGAGAGTTTGGGGGTGGCCCACACTCACTAGGGAGGGGTTGTCTGGGGTACTGCCTGCACTCATGAGGCAGTGGCGTATCTGGGGGCTAATCCACTCACCAGGGTAGCAGAGCACCTGGGGCCACCCACCTCACAGGGCAGCAGAGCACCTGGGATGCCCTCACTTACCAGGGCAGGGCTGGGTGCTGCAGAGAGCCTCCTCCGTGTGCAGCCCCAGGCAGATGTCTCCCCCATAGGCTGGTGCTGGGTTTGAGCAGGAGCGCGTGCGCATGTAGTGTCCACCTCCACACGTGGCTGAGCACTTGGACCAGGGGGACCAGCAGGACCACATGCCATCCACTGGGGAAGGGGCACAGGGCCACCCGGCTTTAGTGACAGAGTCACACCCTCTCAGACCCCAGGGTGAGGTGACCACACACAGCACCTGGCTGCACAACCAGGGAGGGAGACGGGAGTGGCTGCAGGCATGGCCAGTTGGGGTTATGGCGTGTCATGTGGGTGCTTCTGAACCCCCAGGAACCTCTGATGGCTCTGCCCTGGGTGGCTGCAGTCTGGGGTGCTCAGAGCCAGACAGAGCACCCCAGAATCTGACAGGGCGAGGAGGAGGAAAGCGAGGGGCTAATGGGGTCAATGACGACAGACAAGAGCCAGAGAAGACCCTCAGAGGGTGACTGACTGGGGTCAGAAGGGTCTTCCCTCGGGCAGAACTCATGCACACTGTGTTCTTAAGGCTCCTTTTAATTTCTGCACACGAGGTGGCAGGCCTCAATGACGAGTGTCTACACTGGAAGTTGTCTATGGTGGAAACTGGACGACAGAGAGTTGATTTCCAGGAAAGAGTGTCTGCATGCAGTAAAAATAGCTGGGGGGTGACTGGGTTTTCTCAGCCAAGGGCTGGGCGCCAAACACCTCCCCACCAGCCCTCCCAGTCCCTGCTGCCTTCCAGCCTCAGGGCTGCGGAATGCCCTAGAAGCCAGGACGGCAGACTGACATCTGCCCCACTCATGGGAACTCCCCATCACAAGTGGGAAGTGGGGCTGACCGCTCCCCACAATCCTGCGCCTCACCAAAAAGGAGGGCCGAGCTCGGTCCGGTGCTGCGGACCCACAGCACTCAGGATGGAGCGCAGTGAGCCGGGGCCTCGAGCATCCCTCAGGCGAGGCTGGCTCCCTGAGACGGGCTATGGCCCCGCCCTGGGGGCAGGTGGCATCCCCACCCCTGAGAGCACTGTGTGAGCCCTGGGATCTGTCTGCAGTCAGGAGGGAGGAGAAGGGGTCTGTCTTCCCATGGCCCCTCCTTGCTCCTATTTATAGCCTGGACCCCAGTACACTGATGGTGCCCCATGTGGGGGAAACTCTATTCTCCCTAGGGGGCTATGGGAAAGAGCTGGCTCTCTGACCTCTCCCAGCCCTTCAGCATCATCTTGGCCAGGAAGGCTGGGTGCTCAGAGGAGGGGGTAGGGTGGTGTCCCCTGAGGCTGGGGGAATTCAGCACAGGCATGCTGGGGTGAGAGGAAAATCTTGGCTATGAAGCTGGGCACTGTGTGTTTTCAACGTCATACCTACGCTTATTTACCAGTCCTTCCCACCGACTCTCTCTCCACGGGTCTGCCCACCCACACAGCCTTTCGTCCATCTCTCCATCACCATCTGCCACCCTTCCCCGACCACCATCCTTCCCTTTGTCTGCCCATCCACAGACGCAGACATCCGTCCATCTGTTCATCCACCCTTCCTTCCTTCCATCCATTGATCCATACTTGTGTCTATCTACACATTCTTCTACCCGCCTCTCCGTCCACCACCAGCCATCCTCCCCTGACCACCATAGTTCCTCCTCTCTGTCCATCCATCCATTCATCCATCCATCCACCCACCCATCCTTCCTTCCATCCATTGATCCATACATCTATTTGTCTACACATTCTTCTACCCACCTCTCCATCCACCTCCACTCACCCTTCCCCAACCACCATACTTCCTTCTCTCTATCCATTCTTCCTTCCTTCCATCCATTGATCTATACATCTGTCTATCTAGACATTCTTCTACCCACCTCTCCGTCCACCACCACCCATCCTTCCCTGACCACCGTACTTCCTTCTGTTTGCCCATATATGCACCCAGCCAGCCAGCCATCCTTCCACCCATCCACACACTCAGCATCCATTCATCCACCCACACTTCCTTCTGTCTGTCCACCTGTCTATGCATTCATTGGTGGATGTGTCCATCTGTCTGCAGACATGCATTCTTCACCCGCACTCACCTGGGCAGGGAAGGACATTGCATTCCTGATACTCCAGGGCCGGGCCCAGGCAGGGCAGCCCCCCGTACTTGGGCTCGGGGTTGTTGCACACCCGCTTCCGGCTGCGGATGCCACGGCTGCAGTCACGGCTGCACTGGGACCAGGACGTCCAGGCCGACCAGGCACCGTTGACCATGTGGGCTGGGTACCTGCCCGCTCGCAGGAAGTCCCCAGAGAGGCCTGGACAGAGGAGGAGACCCTGTTAGGAACTGGACCCTTGTTCCTACCACCGCTCAGCCAGCGTGCGCATCCCAGGTTTCAGAGGGATCAGCACGGTGGAGGCCACTCGAGCAGTTCTCTCTGTCGCCACCTGGAAGCAGGTGCAGAAGCAGCTGAGTTGCACCAGCCACGTCCTCTACCGGTGGCTCCTTGCAGGTTCACCCTGACGTCGCCACCACCGGGACGCTACAACCCACACACAGAAGCGCTGACGTGACCTCGGGCTGAGCTGCTCGTTGGGGGCTGAGTCGAGCCCTGGCGAGGGCAGTGGTCTGGTTCTTTGGACAGTCTACGCTGCCACGCTGAGTGCCCGCATGGTGAGGACCCAGCCTGCAAACCAAGAGGTGGGGGCACCCATTTAGAGATGCCCAGAAAGGGGGGGTGTCGCACGAGAACTTTGAGGAGCACGGTCTCCCTCTGACAGGTGTGGGGCACCTTGAATGGGGGTGGACTCGCTGTGGTCTGCTTGGACTATCGATGGGCTGGGCCGCTGCCCAGGGATCCCCGAGGAAGCTCGGTGCACTTGTGTGCAGGACACATTCCCTCAGGAACTGGCCTGCGAGTAGACCCAGGTGGGGTGGGTGTCTCCTCGGCTGACTATGGGGCCAGCTGTTCCTGGGCTCACCTGCTCTCCCACCCCACTCTCTTAATTTAGTTAATTAGCCACAGAGGTTATGCACACTTTGATAAAAACCACCACCCCACTAATTTATGCCCAAGTCCTAATCTGCAGTGCCTGAGAACGTGCTTGGACATGACCTCGGGAGACATTAACAGGTTTAGGCGATGTGAGAGCCTACATGGGAGGAAGAGCCCCTGGGGAGTGCCTGGTTGCTGACCGGACACCTGGAGGTCTGGGTCTACCAGGAGATCTTCTCCTCTGGAAGCTGGCCTCTGTGAGGCTGTTGTCTGACCTCCACGGGTCGTTTGACAGAGACGCAGACAAGCCCAATGGCTGGTGGCCTTGGAGGCGGGCACAGACACAGCAGAGGGATGATGGAAGATGAAGCAGCTGCCAGGCCAAGGCTGCTGACCACCAGCAGATGCCAGGGTTCTCCTGCGGTGTCACAAGAAGGAGTAGGACCCTGCCCACACCCTGCTGGTGGACGCCTGCCCTCTGGGACTGGAGACCAAGCCTTGCTGTCGTCCGAAGCCACCCTCTTGGGGACCCGCTTCAGCAGCCTGATGACATAAGTCTGTCTCCAGGACTTAAACTCCCCCAGAGAATCACACTTCCCAAAGCCCACTCTCTCCTGGCTCCAGGAGCCGAATCCAAGCACCCCTTTTGCAGTCTGCGGAGCAGCTCAGCTCCAAAATCCCACTTCTGAGTCCGTGAGGACGCCCTGGGCTGTGGCTGCACGCCTTTGCGTCGGGTTCTGTAAGGAGGGCACTGCCTTCTCCAGGTGTCCATGCCAGCCGCGCGCATGTGTGCAGACCAGAACAGGTGCCAGCGGGCATTCAGGGAGGTCAGGTCCTCGTCAGCAAGTCACAAGTCAGCCAAAGGGCACGCAGGGAGCACACCGTCCCTGGTAAGAGCGCTTCCCAACCGTGTCCCCAGGTACATGAGGGTCAGGACAGATGGAGGGGCAGGGCTCCCACGCTGCCTTGCTTTTCCGTCGGAGGAGGCCCCCAGCCCGATGACCCAGAAGCTGCACATGTACCTGGGGAGGTGACGGTGACAAAGCACCTGCTGCGGGTTCGTTCAATCATTTTACATCCACATCACATCAGTGCAGGGCATTACAGACGGCGGTGCACTACGTACTCTAAAAGCCGGTGTCTCCCCGCATTCTGGGGCCAATCCCCTCTCAGTACCAGGCTCCAGAAAGGTGCCTCTCCCTGGCCCCCTCCCCAGGGTCTGCCCTGCAGACCCCAGAGCAGCCTCACTCTTGCTAGCTGGTGTCTGAAGCTGACAGCTCAGCAAGGTCCGACATGACTCGCCATTTCCTGATTCTTACAGCAAATGACGTGCTGGAAGTTTTCCGTTCTAGTCTTAAAAGAGTTGGGAAAATATAATAACTGTCAGAGAAAATAATCAGAACTAGGAAAAAAGCAAACAAACAAAGCCAATCTGAAATCCTCCTCTTCAGTGCAGTTCCACAGGGCCCGGTGTTGTTCCCAGATAAGGTCTCCCCGCTTGCCGCCCACGTATCTGAGATGCTTGCTCTGTGCTGGGCCTCTTCACCAGGTAAAGGTGACTCTCAGAGCCCCAGAGAAGGGGAGGTCTGCCGGGAGGGG